GCATTGCATTTGTTTGTGTCACATTTTGTCATACAGAACAGCCTCCCTGACGTGCACACTCATTTGTTTCTTTTTTAAAAAAGATTTTATTTACTTACTTTTACAGAGAGGGGAAGGGAGGGAGAGAGGCAAAGAAACATCAATGTGTGAGAGATACATTGATCGGTTGCCTCTCACATTTCCCCAGTTGGAGACCTGGCCGGAAACCCAGGCATGTGCCCTGACTGGGAATCGAACCGGCAACCTTTCAGTTCCCAGGCACTCATCCACTGAACCACACCAGCCGGTGCTTTTTTTTTTTTTTTTTTTTTAATGTCATTGGCTTGTTGAAGAAATGAGATCCACTGCCCCGGCTCTAGAAGGAGGGGTTTATGAAGCAATAAAGAAGCGGGTGAGCTTGGGAAGACATGGAGTGGCATTGCCCGCTCTGACCTTTCACTTCCTTTTTTTTCCCCGGCACAGGCCCTCAGCCACAAATACGGCGGACACAGTAGCCACGTGACGAACGTGGCCTTCTTGTGGGATGACAGCATGGCCCTGAGCACAGGGGGCAAGGACACCAGCATACTGCAGTGGCGGGTGGTCTGAAGTGGGTTGGCGGGGGTCCCAGAGACGCAGGGCCAGGGTGGAGTCAGGTGGCAGGGTTGGAGTTCTATTTTCGGGAGATGTCTATTGCCGAGTAGAGTAATATATACCCAGATTATGTCTATAGCAGAGAGGGTTATAGGGGCGGAAGGCTGGGCTGACAGACAGAAGTCTCTATTTATCTGGGTGGGAGGAGGGGGTCACATTGTTTTGGGAGAGCCATTAGGATGTTTGGTTTGGGGTGTTTTTTTAAGTTTATTCTTTTATATCATCCACAAATAAAGATGTGCACTGAGGTGGAGTGTCGGGTTTGTGCAAGTAATGTGTCATAGATTGGGTGTGTCTGTAGGCGTTGTGTATAGGGCGGGGGTGGGGGGGCAGTGTGTTCGCGGATTACAGTGTTGGATGAGGGACCATTACTCGGAGGTCTTTATTGGCTGCAAGTGGCAGAAACCAAGCTTGCTCTAACTTAGGCCAAAAGAGAATTCAATTGGGCCTCCATTCAAACAAGTAAGTGCCTCTGGGCTTCAGGGCCACGGAACCGAGGATTTGAGAGCCAATAGGACACTCGCACCATTCCTTCTTACCTATGAGTCTGCATTTTTCTCCGGGACCAGCATTCTCCACCCAACGCACCCCGCAGCTGCAAAGCTCAGATCAGCCAGGCTAGGGCCCCAGGGCCAAAGATTTCAGGAAAAGGTCGTGATTGGCCCATCTGCAGATCAATCAACTTGACCCGCCGGATGGTCTACTGTGATTGGCTCCACTTGGGTGAAGTAACACTCCTGGCCAGTGATTGTGACCAGGGACGCGGGTCGTATGGAAAACGTGGAAGCCTCCACCACTCCCACAAGGTTGGAATAGGACAAGAAATGTTTTCAGAGAAGTGGGCCTACAACACGAAAGATGGCTACGGGTTAGGATCTAAGCACTCTGGGTTGCCAGAGGCCAAACCAACTCCACCCAGATAAACAATGAAAAGTTACCTGAGTGGTGTAGGAGTGACCCAGCTGGCACCGCTCAAATGCAGTCATCAGGAATTTCTCAGCTCAGTATGTGTAACCTTGAGCAAAACATTTTACTTTCACTTTTTATTGGTGTTTAACATACAGCAGAGAAATGCACTTACCGTAAATGCAGTCTGCTGAGTTCACAACCCATCCGTGCAGCCAGCTCCCAGATGGAGAAACATCCCCAGCCCCTCACAAGCCCCCTTGTGCCCCATCCCATCCATTGCCCCCCCCACACACACACTAGCCATCACCCTGACCACACCATAGGGAATATATATATATTGGGGTAGGGAGTGAGTTAGTCTCATCTTTTCCAGCCTATATAATTTATAGTGATGCTATCTAATTACATCTTTCTTTAAAAAGATTCTTTTACAAGTGATCCGCAGGATTTCCTCAAGCAGCCTGGCTACTTTGTTTGTTTATTCTACAGATTTTATTTATGTAAAGAGGGGAATGGAAGGAGAAAGAGAGGGAGAGATGCATCAATGTGTGGGTGCTTCTCACGTTTCCCCAACTGGGGACCTGGCCCACAACCCAGGCGTGTGCCCTGACTGGGAATCGAACCGGCAACCCTTTGGTCCCTAGGCCTGTGCTCAGTCCACTGAGCTGCACCAGCCAGGGCTATTTTTATTTTTTAAAGATTTTATTTATTCTTAGAGAGGGGCAGGGAGGGAGAGAGGGAATCATGGATCTATTGCCTCTTGCACACCCCCTAACGGGACCCTGGCCCACAGTCCTTACTGGGGATCGAACCAGCAACCCTCTGGTTCACAGGATGACACCTGACCCACTGAGCCACACCAGCCAGGGCCATTTATTTATTTTAATGTTTGAGGCACAACTGTTCTCTAGTTGAGTAGTTCTCAAACTTGAAGGAGCACTAGAATCACCCACAGGCCTTGTAATGACAGCGCAGCTGCCCCAATTCCCCGTCAGGGGAATTTTGAGAACCACTGCTCTAGTGGAAATGTAATAAGGGAGCAAACGTGGGATTTTCCTGGACGGAACAGTACATAAAAATGTAGAACATTATACACCTGCGCTTCCTTTTCTCACCTCTACAGACGATCACCTGGGATGGAAAGCTCAGAGCTTTGCAGTTTCACGGTGACAGCTTACCCAGCCCATCTCTTCCTAAGGGAGGAAAATACTGCGGGAGAAACCTGCAAAGCCCGCTACTGAAGTCCAAGTTCTGGGGAAGTGTCATTGGGTCTCTTAGCGCTCTGTCGCCCCCTTGTGCCCAGCCTCAGACCTGCATGGAAAAAATGTGCCTAGAAAGTTCTACGCGAATAGAGCTGGCGGTAACTCTCCACTTGCCGATCCCTCCCCACCCACCCTCGCCAGGGCCACTCAGGTTTTCGCCCCTGGTGCAGGGCCCTGGGAGACTGCCCTGTGCGGACTCCACCCACGGATGGCCCTTGCCCTCTGCTTTCTGGTTGGGTTCTGCCAATCAGAGGCGCAGATAGGAAACCCGAGGGTCAGAGGAGAGAGGTGGGAGTGTTTGTTTTCCGGCGCTCCCTGGATCCCTGCGGTCTGCAGATGGCTGCGTCCCTGCACCTAGCGCCACCGCTCCCAGGTGCTCGCCTCCATACTCCAGCTTTCTGTCCAAAGGGTGGCCGGTCACCTGGTGCCACCCCATACTTTGCAGGGTCCTTCACCCTGCCCACTCCCCTGAAACATCCCTTCGTAAGTGCTGCCACTTAAACTCTAAGCGGCCCCTGTTTCCTGCCGGGACCTTGCCTGAATCGCAGCATAGACTCAGGGTGAGCCCAGGAGAGAAGGGGAACCCTTGCCCACCAGTGCGCCCCAGGATTTCTCTTTAGGAAGAGCTTGGGCCGGCCACGGGGCTGACGGGAGGGTTCTGTGGGACTTGTCCTGAAACTGATCGTGTCTGTGGGGTTCAATGCGGGGAGAGGCTAAAGCCTTCCCGCCACCTTCCTTGGATCTGCCCCTGGCTGTCCCCCGTGAGAGGGCAGAAGGAAAAGCCTTTATTCCTGTGTGTGTTGCAGGTCACTGGGTCTTTAGTGAACTCATTCTCTGTTTTCCTCAAGAGCCCAGAGAGGAAGGCTGCACTATGGTTCAGAGAGGTGTAGTCACTTATCCAAGGTCACACAGCGAATGACCATAGCAGCTACTACACAAAAAAACAACTGTATCACTCCATTTATATGAGGTTCTAGAACGGGCAACGCTAATCTCCCATGAAAAAAAGGAAAGCACAGTGTTGCCTCCCGTGGTGACTCGGGGTGGGAGCATTGCCTGGATAGGGGCAGTGCACCAGGGTCTGGGTGATGGAAATGTTTTCCATCTTGATTTGGGTGCTTAATCACATGGGTGTATCTGTTTGTCACAAGTCATTGTACTTAAGATCCGGGCATTCATTTTATTTTAAAAAAATAAATAAGCAAGATTTTGCAAACCTAATAGCTGCCATTTTTGGGTGCTCCCTACCTGGTCTGTCCAAAGTGCTCTGACCAAGAGTGAATTCTCAGGAGCAGTTTGGAACGATGGTGACACAAATAAGCACGTGGGTCCGGAGCTCTCACCATGCACGTGCTCACTCCCTGAAAACAGTGTGCACTGCACAACCATCCCGCGCCCGGTGGCCTTCTGGGCAACAGACACAACAGTCAACAAAGCAGACACAAAAATGACAAATGATGCTCCTCCTGGGGCGGGGGGAGGCAGAGAATTAGGAAACGATAAGGGGCAAACATGGAACATTCGATGGCGGCCAGTTCTGTGGGGGAAAGAAAATAAAACAAGGAGGGGTTGCGAACCTCCAGGAGTGGGGTATGTTTTACAAAGTGGATGGTACTGACACCTCAGAATGACATCCCCATGACAGTGGGACTATACTGTGACCATATTGACAGGAGAGGAAACTGAGGCACAGGGAGGTCACCTCCAGCCTAAGGTCTGGCCAGGAGGCAGGGCTGGAACCGCAAGCCCCGGAACTCCTTCCAGGGGCGGCCCTGGCCCTGGGAGTGGGGACTTACCAGAACCCTATGTGGGTTCCCTTGTGGGGGGCATGCAACGACCAGGAAGTTAGTGACTTAGGTTTGGGGTCTCCGAAGGGAGGAGATGGATCCGCTGAAGGGCAGTCAATGGGGAGAGCCCCCGCACCCCGCCCCGTAGCTGGGGGTTTGATCAAATCGGAGGCGCGGGGTTGGAGGGAGAGCAGGCAAAGGGGTTAATGAGGCGGGGGCATCCAGACTGCGGCCTTCGAAGGACTGATGTGGGAAGGGAGGGGGTTCCGGCAGGACGTGAGAGCTCCCCAGCGCTGGGAGGCCTGAGTGGGGTGAAGGCTTAAAGGGGTTAAGGGGGAGCTACAAAGGAGGGGTTAATGGGGGCGGGCCTGGCAGGCCGGGGCGGAGCCTCGGCCGGTGAGGAGTCGGCGCTGGATCCCCGGGCCGCCGTCGAGCCCAAGACCTCGCAGCAGCCGGGAGCGGGAGCGCCGCCGCCCGCCCCGTCCAGCCGCGGCGCGCAGGTAGGTGCCGATCCCTCCCCGGTCCGCGTTTGTCGTCCGGCCTCCGCGGGGCGCTGTTCTCCGCGCCCCTGGGGGCTTTGCGTCCTTAGGTCGGCTGCCTCGGTCTCCCGCGCCGTCCGGTCCCCGCCCCTCTCTGATGCCGGCTCTCCTTACGTCTCCACGGTTGATTCTGTCTCTGGTCTGTCTCTCCACCCCTCTCTCCTTCTGTCTCTGATGTCTCTGTATCCGCGCGCCCGCTCCCTCTGGGTGTATCTCTGTCTCTCCATCCCTGCGTGTCTCCGTGTCGGTCTCTGCATCTCTGCCTGTCTCTCTCCGTCCATCTCTGTCTCTGCCTTTCCCCACCAGTCTTTTGACCACCCCTCCATCTGTGTGGATCTCTCTGCCTCCACCTCCGCGCCTTTCTGTCTCTGTCCATCTCTTTGCCTTTTCCCTTCCGGTCTCGCCGTCTCTCCCCATTTCTCTGCGTCTTAGACCCTGTCCGCATCTCATGGCAAATCCTCGCCCACCCCCAGAGCTTCCCCCTGGACTGAAGAGCTGCTTGGGGAGGGTGGGGGACAGCAGGGTTGCTACCTGGGGCAGGTAAGCGCTGAGTGACACTGTGACCCCAGCGCCCTTTTCACACAGTCCCCCCACTGCTCCTGAGGTCCCACCCACCCCACCCTCCAATTTCAGGAATTCCTGGCTGGGGGGTGGACTTCCTTTCACACTTCCTCCCTTCCAGGATTTGGCTGGGTCACTATTAACTCCTTCCTGCCTCTATCTCATCCCCCCTCCTTGAACTGGATGCCCCTGCTCTCCAAAGCAGGCTGGAGGGCAGCTCTGGAGTCCTGGGGGGCATCAGTTTGAGGGTGTGTCTGTGCACTCAGGCGGGAGGTGGGCTGGGAGTTTTACTGGGGGGCACAGCTGGAGATGATGGGGGCCATCCCCTCCAACGCCCCCTAGGACCCACCACCCGCCTCTTTCCTCCTGAACCCAGCAAGAGGGGCCCCCACCAGCTCTATCTCTGTGGATGACTCAAATTCAGATTTGGGTGAGGATGGCAAGGTTTCCCTTTCAATGGGGGGGTTCCCATTAGGATGAGATGACAGAAATGTATGAGGGCTCCCAAACTCGGAATCATATCATCAAGAAGCCTTGAATGTGAGGCCTTTGAATGGAAGGACCCAGACTGTGGGAATGATCGGAGGGGAGAACTGGGAACACAAGTCAAAGGTCCTTAAAACACTCGAACCCTTCAATCCAAAAAGATTCCTGCCGGAACCATGGCCGTTTCCAGTGTTCACAGCTGTGGGCTTGAAAGGACTTTCCGAGACATCTAGGCCAAGCACCCACTTTACAGATGGGGAAACTGAGACCCAAGAGCAGAGTCCCCACAGCAAGTCAGTGCCAGTTGGGGGCTGGGGCTCTCGTTCCACGGAAGCCTGAACCCAGAGAGCTGGCTTCTTTTGCTGCCACTAAATCGGATTAATTTGGAGTAGGAGGTCTTCCCAGGGAGGGGGAGAGTGCCAGCGTGGGTAGGAACGCCTGGGACCCAGAAGGGAGCACTTTAGAAGCAGAGAAGAGAAAATATTTCTAAAGCCATGGCGGTGGCCAGGGAGAGGGGGCAAGTGTCAGTTTGGGGGGAAGGGGAGGAATTTCAAAGAAGGGGGGAGACAGGAGGAGAAGTCAGGGGACAGGGATTAACTCCCTCCTGGTTCTGTCTCCTGACCCCCCCACCCCATGAAGCCCACTGGTCCCCGGGGGACAGGGCCTATAATTTGGTTTGTGTCTAGACAAATAATAACTCAGCTGCTGTGAGCCAGCAGGGAGGGATGAGGCCAGGCCCCCTGGGCAACGGGCAGGGCCAGGGCGGCAGCCTGGGCTCCTAGTACCTCCCGCTCCCCAGGTGGTGAGAACTGAGGGGTGAGGTGGAGGTGGTCACTAAACTCTCCCCAACCCCCTAGAGCGCTCCCCACTTCTGTCCCCTCCCCTGTGATGCTTAGTATCTCAGAATTCTGCATTCTGCATAATCTTAGAACTTCAGGCCGCTGGAACGTTAAACATGGAACTGATAAGGGGGAAAAGCAAGTGGGGTTTACCCAACAGACATTATGCTCCCATTTCTGCAAAAAAAAAAAAAAAAGGGAAATACGCACTCGTGTTTTTGCTTGGCAAAGATAATAATCACTGAGAGTTTAATAATAGATTATGAAAGTCATAGAGTGTTTTTTAAAAATCATAGAGCGTTCTAACAATAGAACTTTCGAATCTTGGAATGCGAGCCTCCTGGGCTGTGGGGTGAGGGCATGGAGAGCCATGGGGTAATAATAATAGAACGGAACAAAGGTAAGGCTCTAGAACACCGTTACAATAATAGAACAGTAAACTGGGCACTGGACTAACAATAGAACCCGAGGGTTTGGGAACGTGGGAATTTAGAACATGGGAGCGGCGGAGTCCAGGACCCTGGTGCCCCTTCCTGGTGGAGTGGGCTTTGGGGAAGATGGGGACCCGTTAGCCAGCAATAGCCAGCAAGGCGGTCAGCCTGGCCTGCCCGTCCCCTGGCTTCCGCCTCCACCAGGGCACCAGGTGGGGAGCGAGGCTTGGTGATCACATTTCGTCTCCTAATGAGAGGACTGGAGCTGGCCAGTCCCATGGGGCTGCCAGGGGAGCTGCGAGCCAGGGGAGGGGGAGCCAGAGCCTACAGAGCGGGGAAGTGGGGAGCCGTGGCCTGCTGGCCTCTAGGATGAATCTGGTGAGTGGAGGGTGGGAGTATGGGGGTTCCATCACCTCTCCTCTTGTCCTCTCATCCCCACCCCAGTTCTTTCCCCTTGCTGGATTTAGGGGTGGCAGGCGGACCTGGGGATGGATATGGTCAGAGCAGCTGAGGGATAAAGTGGGGGTAGAGGTCCGACCAAGCTGTCTCATCCCCCCACCATCAGTCTGCACTTGGGATTCTCACTCTTTGTGTCCCTCTAGGGGAGTGGGCATCAGGGACCAAATAGGGGGCCCTCTGAGACAGGTGGAGCTTCTTGTGGGGTCTGTGAGATTTGGGGATTGAGTCCCCAGCAAAGCCTGTGTAAGGGAAGCAACTTAGATCCCAAGTGAAGAGGGTCTTGACCCTGGGGGTGAAGGGGAGGAACTCGGCAAGGGAGTCAGGTGATGGAGGGATGCCCAGGACACTACAAGTCACTTGCTTTCATGGTGAGAAAGTTTGTGTATCTTTCAGCAGATTCTCAAGAGGGGCTGAGACCCCAGAAAGACTTGAGGAAAATTACAGGAGTGCAGGGAGTGTGGAGAGAAAACATCCAGAGAAAGGAAGCTCTTCCAGTTAAGAACAAACCTGCTGGGACCCTGGCCAGGGTAGTTCAATTGGTTGGACGTCGTCATTCCGCAAAGCAAAAGGTCACCGGTTCAATTCCTGGTCAGGCACATGCCTGGGTTGCGGGTTCAGTATTGGTCAGGGCATGTGCCAGAGGTGGCTAGTTGATATTTCTCTCCCTCTCTCTCTCCCTCCCCCTCTCTCTAAAAGTAAGTAAAATCTGCATTTAAAAAAAATATCTGCCCAGTCTTGGCACATCATGTGACTTGGAGAACTGCCTTGCCCCTCAGGGCCTCAGTTTCCTCATCTATACCAGGGAGGGGTTAGAAATAACCTTGCACCCCCACTTCCAACTCCACTCCCCGCCACTGTCACATGTTGTCACATACAGGCCTGCTGCATTGCGGAATTCTAACAGTCTGACATTCTGTGCTGACTTTTGGGGGCTCGATGCTGGGCAGATCTGGCAAGGTGGGGGGAGAAAGGAGGGTTGTCCAAGGTTCCTTCCCGATGCCCCGCACTCCCTGGAAGCAGAAGGACTGGAGGACAGGTGGGAGGAGGAGGAAGGGGTGAGTGTCCAGCTGGTTCCCCCTTGAGGAAATTAGCAATGGGAAGTATATTTCCTCTGGCCGCCAGAAATCATTCTCCATCCTGTGTGTCTGCCTCAGCCTCAGCAGAACCCAGGTGGTCTCCAGAGGGTGGGGCAAAGGGAAATCCTAGCCTTGGGGGCTGCATCCCACTACAGACTTGTTCCTGGTCTCAGCGTCCAGAGTCTGTGGAGCAGCAATTACTCGAGAAAGTGTAGATGACATCAACAAGGATTTTCCTATCTGTGATGTGACTGGTATGAAAGTGTGCCCCCTCCCCTTCTTATAAAGGGGGACCTGAAGCTCCTGAGGGAAAAAAAGTAATTCCCTCAATGTTACAAAAGGAAGGAGAGACAGGGCAAGAGAGAGGGGAGGGGACCGAGGGTCAGAGAGCCTGGGGAGAGGTGTTTTGGGTGACTTGGTGAGGGGGGGAAGGGACTGGATCCCACTATTATGGTCAGGAGCAAGCCCCCTCCAACCTATCTAAACAGGGTCCAGGAGCCCCTCCTCCCCCACCCTGTCTGAGTCTGGGTCGGGGCAGGCTCAGAGGGCAGGACTTCCCTCTGTAGTAGGACCCAGTCCTGGCCTTCCAAAGTCACTTCTGCAGCAGACAGGTCCCGCCCTTTTCACGGCCCACCCCTCATCTCTCTCTCTCTGGGTCCCCAGGGGCTTATCTGAGCCTGAAGTGGGGGGTTGGTGCTGCCTGAAGGGGCGAGGGAGCCTGTGTTGGGGAATAAGGTGCCCAATGCATGTTTCTTCAGTCTACAGTCATTCATTAATCACCTACTGTATGCTGGGGACACTACAGCGGTCAACACAAGGTCCCTGCTCTTTGGGAACTTCCGCTCCAGACAGACAAAAATAAGATACAGGTGCTGTGAGGAAAGAGCCCTGGGGAAGTAGACGTGGGCGGGGCTCTGGGTGGGAAGGGTGTCCCGGAGGACGTGAAGGAAGGAGGAAGCTAGTTCTTTCTTTTCCTTAATTTCTTTTTCTTTTTCTTTTTCTTTTCTTTTCTTTTTTCTTTCTTTCTTTTCCTTTTCTTTTCTTTCCTCTCCTCTCCTCTCCTCTCCTCTCCTCTCCTCTCCTCTCCTCTCCTCTCCTCTCCTCTCCTCTTCTCTTCTCTTCTCTTCTCTTCTCTTCCCTTATCTTCTCTTCATCCTCATCCAAGGACATGCCCATTGATTTTAGAGAGGGAGAGGAAGAAAGGGAGAGAAAGGGAGAGGGAAGGAAACATTGATTCCATTCTGTTGCCTCTCATACTTTCAAATGCACTTGATCCATGAGTGAACCCGCAACCCAGGCTTGTGCCCTGCCGGGGAATTGAACCTGTGACCTTTCAGTTTCTGAGACGATGCTCCAACCAACTGAATCCCAATGGCCAGGGCTAGAAAGCTAGTGCTAACGAGATCTGAACGAAGAGAGGTCCAGGTGGACAGTACAGAGAGAGCACAGGCTCTGAGGCTAGGAAGGTCACTCACTGCCAAGCAGGTCAGGCAGCACCTCGTCACCTGGGACAAGGAGTTGGGATTTCACCTCAAGTCCGTTGGGAGACCATCGGAGGGTTTGACACAGAGAAGTCACCAGGGCTGATGTCCACATTGGAAAGGCCTTTCTGGCTGTGGTGTGGGAAGTGGGGTGGAGGGCATCAGCGGCGGCCAAGAGAGCAGTGAGGAGGCCACTATAAGGGTCCCAGCAAGTGAGCCAGCTTGGTGGTGCAAAGCAGGCAGTGGCAGGGGTTTTAGAGACAGGTACAAACTCAGGATTTATTGTGGAGGACGTAAAACCAGAGGGGTTTCCCATGGAAAGATGCTCAGGCATCTGGGAGGTTTCCAAGGACCTGCTGTGTGACTTTGGGCCCATCCCTTCCCCTCTCTGGGCCTCAGTTTCTTCATCTGTCCAACTGGCTCAAGCAGTGGTTTTCAAAGTGTGTCCTGGGGATTCGTCAGAGGTGCCGCCCACCACCTGCCACTTTCTTTCCTTAAAAAAAAAAAAAAAGATTTTATTTATTTACTTTTAGAGAGGGGAAGGGAAAAAGAGGAGAGAAACACCAGTGTGGGGTTGCTCCTCCAGCACCCTCTCCTGGGGACCTGGCCTGCAACCCAGACATGTGCCCTGACTGGGAATTGAACCAGTGACCCTTTGGTTCGCAGTCTGTGCTCAATCCAGTGAGCCACACCAGCCAGCACCCCCCTGCCCCTGGCTTTTTAAATTCTCACCTGAGGATATTTTTATTGATTTTTAGAGACAGAGGAGGTGGGGAAAGAGAGAGAGAAATGAATGTAAGAGAGAAACATCGATTGGTTGCCTTCTGTACGTGCCCTGACCAGGGATTGAACCCACAACCTAGGTATGTGCCCTGACTGGGGATAGAACCTGAATCCTTTGCGTGTATGGGATGGTGCACCAACCAACTGAGTCACCCAGTCAGGGCCCCTGCCACCTTATTTTATCTGGAGCACAGAGCAGCTTTCCTTTTTCTTTGTCTTACATGGAGCTTCCAGTTAAGTTTTTTTTTTTCCTAAAGCCCATAAAATCAAACCTGCACAACCCCCTGGGTGGAGCTGCTTCTGAAGATGCCTCTGATTGAGGCTTCGCTCCTCTTCTCTCTGATGGCGAGGGGCTTGGTCCATGACTGTCCCTTGCACTGTGCTTGCAGGTCTTCCCAGGACCAAGGAAGTGATGCGCCCAAGGTTCACACTCGGGAAAAGTCAGAAAGGAGGCAAAGAAGTCTGTGGTCCCCGAGGGAGGGGACTGCAGGCGCTGGCCTCGCTCCCTGCCCTTGATCAAATCCAGCAGCCTCCTCTCTCATCCCTTTCCCCCTGCCCTCTGCAGCTACGGTTCCCAGCCCCACTGTCAGCCCAGGGCCACTCTCTGTCTAGTTATTTCCGAGTGGAAACTGAAACACAGGCTGGAGCACAAGGGGCCAGAGACGAGATTTCCCCTCTCCGGTCATCAGGACCTTGGACAGGTCTCTGAGCTGCTGTGTGCCTCAGTTTGTCAACTGGAGGGAACACACAGTACTTTCCTCATGGGCTTCTTGACATTTTAATGAATTAATACCCATAAAAGTGCTCGAACAGGGTTTACTAGGTACTGGGACTCATAAGCTTTAGCTGTTATCATCACCATTATCATCATCATCATGATCAAGAACGGGGTACCCTGGGTCAGGAGTGGGAGGCTGGTCGTGGTTCCAGTTTCGGTTCTTGTTCAGTTCCTGCCCTGCTGTGCGTTTTTTGAGGGGAGTGACTCAGCCTCTCTGGGCCCGTCCTCCCTGCCCGTAAAAGGGCAGCGTTAACCTAGCCCAGCATTTCCCAAAGCGTGATACGATTGTTGTGCCAGTTTTGTGTGGTTTCTGGAAGAAAGTTCTAAAATCTAAATTGGGTTATTATTTTAACATCTATTAGGGGAAAGTCTCTCTGGCACTTCAGATCTGTGTTTTCAGAGGTCTGTTGTCTGGAATGGGGCTCAATTAGGCATTATCTGCCACCTATAGGAATAAGGGCGAGCAGTGTGGGAGCAGGGGTGGGGTCCGATGCCCGGACCCCCTCACTGAGTCCTCTCTCCCCACAGGAACCGCAAAGTCAGCTCTGAACCGTGAGGGGGGCCACCTCATCTCAACTGCTCAGCAGGACCAAGCCTGAGCCCTCCCCTCCCCACTTCAAACTGCCCCCTCCGTCTGTAACCCTCCTCTGATCCAGCCCTTACTCACCTCCTTCCTGTGTCTTAAAAACCCTTTCCACATTCCCCAGACTGAATCCTTCCTCCCTGCCCCACCCCACACACCGCCTCACCCCCAGCACCTCCTTTTCCATCTTCTTCTCTTCATGGGCCACTTTACTTGCTTCCTCGTTTCTTACCCAGGTCCCAGGAAATGCTAGCAGCCCCCCCCACCCCCACAGCCTGGTTCTGTCAACACTCCTTAAGAGTAGCCTGTCCTGTCTCAACACCATCCTGAATATTTCCTGCCGGCGGATGCATAGACACTCCCCTCTGCCAGCTTTTGTGTTACCCCGTCACTCCCTGATTTAATTTCTGATCAGGCCTATAAAAACCTCTTTGAGGAAGCTCTTGGTTCATCCCGCTATTCTGCAACAAACCTCCTTCCTGTGCTAACTGAGTCCTTCCTCCGACTTTTCCCTCTCAAGCTCCACCCCTGGCGCAAGATTCACGGTCAACCTCATCTCTTCCCCGAGGCCTGGCAACCACCATGTCCCCCTGAGCCTCCAAGGAGGGGGCTCAGGGGCCCCGATGGCCTCCCGGCCCCCGCGGCCCCACAGCCCCCCTGGGCCATGGGAAGCCCCTGAAAGCCCCAGCGCCGAGGATGGGCAACCGCACATGGGAGGGCTGCCACGTGGACTCGCGCATGGACCACCTCTTCCCGCCTTCCCTCTACATCTTCGTCATCGCCGTGGGGCTGCCCACCAACTGCCTGGCTCTGTGGGCCGCCTACCGCCAGGTGCGGCAGCGCAACGAGCTGGGCGTGTACCTGATGAACCTCAGCATCGCCGACCTGCTGTACATCTGCACGCTGCCGCTGTGGGTCGACTACTTCCTGCACCACGACAACTGGATCCACGGCCCTGGCTCCTGCAAGCTCTTCGGCTTCATCTTCTACACCAACATCTACATCAGCATCGCCTTCCTGTGCTGCATCTCGGTGGACCGCTACCTGGCAGTGGCGCACCCCCTGCGGTTCGCCCGCCTGCGCCGCGTCAAGACGGCCGTAGCCGTGAGCTCCGTGGTCTGGGCCACGGAGCTGGGCGCCAACTCAGCGCCGCTGTTCCACGATGAGCTCTTCCGCGATCGCTACAACCACACGTTCTGCTTCGAGAAGTTCCCCATGGAGGGCTGGGTGGCCTGGATGAATCTCTACCGGGTCTTCGTGGGCTTCCTGTTTCCGTGGGCCCTCATGCTGCTGTCCTACCGTGGGATCCTGCGGGCCGTGCGGGGCAGTGTGTCCACCGAGCGCCAGGAGAAGGCCAAAATCAAGCGGCTGGCCCTCAGCCTCATCGCCATCGTGCTGGTGTGCTTCGCGCCCTACCACGTGCTGCTGCTCTCCCGCAGCGCCGTCTACCTGGGCCGCCCCTGGGACTGCGGCTTCGAGGAGCGCGTCTTCTCGGCGTACCACAGCTCGCTGGCCTTCACCAGTCTCAACTGCGTGGCCGACCCCATCCTCTACTGCCTGGTCAACGAGGGCGCTCGCGGGGACGTGGCCAAGGCCCTGCACAATCTGCTCCACTTCCTGGCCAGTGACAAGCCCCAGGAGATGGCCAATGCCTCCATCACCCTGGAGACCCCACTCACTTCCAAAAGGAGCAGCGTGGCCAAGGCCATGGCCGCTGGCTGGGTGGCAGCTCCGCCCTCCCAGGAGGACCAGGTGCAGCTGAAGATGCTGCCACAGCCACAATGAACCTCAAATTAAGCAGAGCACTGCCTCCCACACCCTTGCTAAATCTCATCCTACACTCCCTACCTTTTTGGTCTGGTGTATGCAAATTGTATGTAAATAAGGCTGTGTTACTCTTCATAAGAATATAAGAAAATAGGAAAATGATAAGGTCAGCGTGTCACTGGTCAACTGTCATCCTCCACCATGACCCCTTAAAAATTCAATTGAAGTGTACCTAGCCCTGTATGGGCAGTGTTGGTGACACAGTGGTGACAAATAAGACACCTGGCCCTCATGGGTTCCCACTCCGATGGGGACGACGGATCTGTCCCTGGACATTGGTGACCCAGAGTGGGCAGGGCTCAGCCAGGACAAGTCAGGGTCTGGGAAAACCCAGAAGGGCATCTGACCTAGTCTGGAGGACAGGGAGGGCTCCCCGGAGGAGGGGACCAGTAAATTAAATTTCCAGAAGGTAGAGGCACAAAGAGAGAAAAGTTCGGATTATTTCCAGAAAGACAGTGAAGGAGAGTGACTCAAAGGGAAGGTGGAAGGAGAAATTTACTGAGTGTGGAGTGATCACTTTACTCCTGGGACCCCCCTATCTTACAGGGGACAGTGAGCAGGACAGAACAATCCTGAGTTTTTAGATGAACAGCATTCTGCAAGTCGGGACTGAGGAAGAAGGGGAGAATGTCCAAACCCAAACGAAGAGCAATCAGGGCAGGCTGGCTGGAGGAGGGGTGAGGAGGGCAGGCTGGGGAAGGAGACTTGGGACAAGATTCAGTCACAGATCCATTTGTACCTACCATGTGCCCTGTGCTGGCCGGGGCTGGGGACATGGCGGGTGACCAAGACAGCCCAGGCACCACTGTCATGGGGCTCACAGTAAATAAGTAAATCAAAATAAGGTTTGGAGTGAAGGGACAGAGGGTGACATGGAGTCTGATCTACATGAGGTCAGGGGGGCTCACTGAGATGGTGGCTTTTGAGCAAAGACCTGAAGAAGCTGAGGGGTCTCAGCCCAGTGGCAGTCGGAGTGGTGGGGAGAGCATTGCAGGCAGAGGGAAAAGCTAGTACAAAGCCCCGGAATGAGAGAGTGCCTGAATTCTGAGACATAATAAGCACAATGGTGTGACTGGAGCAGACAAGAGTGACAAGAATGGGAGGTGAGACTGGCCAGGGGACAGAGGCCCACCTTTCAGGGCTTTTAAAGTCCTGGCGAGGCCCTCGCTGGTGTGGCTCAGTGGACTGAGTGAGGGCCTGTGAACCAAAAGGTCACTGGTTCAATTCCCAGTCAGGGCACATGCCTGGGTTGCAGGCCAGGTCCCCATTTGGGGGTAACATGAGAGGCAACCACATATTGATGTTCCTCTCTCTCTTTCTCCTTCCCTTCCCCTCTCTCTAAAAATAAATTAATAAAATAAGATAAATGAAGTCCTGGTGAGGACTTTGCCTTTTACTCTGAGATAAAGGGAGCCACAGGAGGAGGGATGTGCTTTGACTTAAATGTTAACAGGACCTGACTGGCTGCTGAGTGGGGAACAGAACAGTGGAAGTCAGGGCAGAAGCCGGGAGCCCCGGGAAGTGGCAACCGCAGTTGTCCGGGCGGGAGATGCTGGCAGCTGGAGCAAGGAGCAGGGCTGAGCTTTGGGATTTATTCTGAAGGAATACAGTAATGGAAGCAGCACATGGGCCCGTGGGATTGTGTAGCGTGAGCCTCTTGCCCATCCTGGGAAAAGGGGAACTGAGAGCCTGAGCTGGAGGAACCTCTGGGAATGATCCCAGGCCCTATTCCAGGCCAGTCACTGGAGAGGCCAAGAGACTAGTCCAGGGTCACACAGCCGGTGAGTCAGCCTGGGGCCAGCCTAGGCTAGCCCTCCCCTCCCCCTCTCCGCCTGTGTTCCCACGCCCCAGAATGGCCACCACTGTCTGCTCCAGTTGGTGTCTCCCTCCCTCCCCCGGCCCTCTGAGGTCACCAGGAATGGTCCTTTTCCTATAATCAGGCTGGAGAACTGGAGGAAGCCCCCAGCCCTGGACAGGTCACGCCCCTTCTGGTAGATCACTTTGCTTGGCTGTGTAACTGACTTCCTCAAGCTCCTGATGAGATGGGATGATCCCCACCCCCCCTCCCCCGCCCCCTACACACATGCCCTTGCCCCAGAAGTTCCCAGAAGAGGTTCCTGGAAACCCTGCTCAGAGAAAGGAAGAGGAGGGAGGAGGGGAATGAGGGGGGGGGGCGGAAACTTAATGAAGAAAATGGTTTTGCAGGAAGGGGGGTTACTGAGATGCAGGAAGTTGGGGCTTTGGTGTTGAGGGGAGAGATTGGAGGGGAGCCTGGGATCTGGGGGCCCCAGTAACTTTCCTGTCCTGTCTCACTGCTGCAAAGCTACTGGGAGGGAGATGTAGGTGGCCAGATGTTTTGAACACAGTCTCCTCAAAGAATCAGATGAAAGACCCCTCCATCAAATACTCATTCCCATTCATTGGTAAATATTTCTCCAGCACCTACTATGTGCCTGGCACTGTTCTGGGAGCTAAGGAAACAACAGTGAATTAATTATACAGAAAGAAGTCACGTACAAGTTTGGACATGCCCTAAAACCATCATGGGGGACCTTAGTCCCTCCCCCACAGTAGGTTCTTGGGCCCCAGGCTAACTCCCCTAGGGATCAGGACAAGGTCCTGGGTTGGGACTTAAGAAACACCAGCCTCAGCTTCCCTCAGCTTCATCCCAATGACCCTTGAAACACTGAATAAATCATTTCCATTCTCCGGCCTCAGTTGGCCAGTCTGTAAAATGGGGAGGAGGTTGATCTCAAGTGGATGTGGACCTCGAATAGGCCCCAAAGTTTCTCACACTTGTAGTTCAGAAAGGATCCTGGGGAGGGGTTGTTTTTATGGTCTTGCCATTCTTTTAAAAGATTTTACTTACTTATTTTTAGAGGTGGGGGTAAGAGGAAGGGAAACATGGATGTGCAGGAGATACATTGATTGGTTGCCTCTCGCATGCCCCCTACCAGGGCCATGGCCTGCAACCCAGGCAGGTGCCCTGACTGGGAATTGAACCAGTGACTGTTTGGTTTGCAGGCCGGTGCTCAGACCACTGAGCCACATCAGGCAGAGCTGGTCTTGTTATTCTTAATACACAATTTAGAATATCTGGGTTCGCACATGCCAGTGCCATCATTATTTCAGGTGAAGAAACAGGTGTGTTGGTGCCTGGGACTTAACAAAAGATGGTCAGGGAGTCAGAGTAGATACAGAGGAAAGCCCAGGGTCTCCCGACTCTGCATCCTGAAGGTTTGTTTCCTCTTCTCTGCTCCTCTCTTCCTCTCCCTCTGCCTCTCCTAGAATCTCTCAATTACCCATCAGCACTCCACCACCCAGGAATTTCTCTCAACCCCTTTCTGACCTTGTTTATATGATTTTGCTCCCTGCTGGGTAAGGGAGGACAGTCTGGGACATGTCCTTAAACTTCCTGAGCCTGCTCCCTGGGGGCCCTCACCCCCCAATGGAGGCAGTGGGGCTGCTTGAGACCCAGTACGGTTTTATTGCCCCAGATGCTGGGCTGTGGACCTCTGCTGGCTGAGGGACCTTGTGCCAGTTTCCTGCCCATCTCTGGGTCACAGTTTCTCAGTTACTTGGTAAAGGGTCGGATTAGCTGCTTCTGGAGAAGAAATTCACCCTCATGCTACAGTAAGCAATAATGATGCTAATGACTGTTGATTGAGCATTTAATATGTGACTGGCACCATTCTAAAAGCTTAACATAATTACTATGTTTTTACATTCAAGACGCGCAGGCAAACCTCACAACCCAATAGGATAAATGTTGTCATGATTCATGTTTTGTAAACAAGAATTCTTTCGCTCAGAGAGGTTAAGTCACTCGCTTACTATCACACAGCAAGTGAATGATGGAACCGGTATCTCAAACCAGGTCTGTAAGACTACAAGCCAGTTTCCCCAGGATGATTGGGAATGAAGCCCAACACAAAATCGTAAATTAACTTAAAACGTTATGAGATTTTTTGCTTATGTGTCACAATGTATGTAATGTGTGGCACAAGACAACTCTTCTAGTGTTGCGCAGAGACGCCAAGAGGTTGTACACTCCTAATCCTAGTGAGAGCTCTATCCTGCCGGGGTAGGTATATTTGGGATTCCTCAGCCATAATTAGGACTAATTGAGAGCCTCACTTGGGCAGAGAAGCAACCCAGGTACGCAGTCACGACAAAGCGCCGCAGCGGACTCGGGCGTGGGAACCCATCTACGCTCCCGCAAGCAGCCGTTTAACGGCACCAACCTCTGACCACCTCACTTCCGCCACATATTTGCATATTCGTAGGTGCGTCACCGTAGACACGGTGAAATGAAGGAGCGCCCTTGCAGATCCCCTCCCAGCGTACGCACGTATGTACGCACGTACGTTCGTACGTACGTATGCACGCACGCACGCACGGCGACAAGCAGACGGGGGAGGAGGGAGAGTTTGGAGGCGCCCCTCCCAGTCAGCCGGGTGGCGCGTCCCCGTGCGACCGGCAAGATGGTGGTGGGTGCGTTCCCTATGGCGAAGCTGCTATACTTGGGCATCCGGCAGGTCAGCAAACCGCTTGCCAACCGCATTAAGGAGGCCGCCCGCCGAAGCGAGTTCTTCAAGACCTATATTTGCCTCCCGCCGGCTCAACGTGAGTCTGACCCCAAGTCCCTCCAACCTTTCCAGTCTCCAACCCCTCTCAGGTGGTTGCTTAAGGGATGGACTTCTGTTTAAGACCAATCACAGCCTGAACCGGCAAAGTCTTGCAGCCAATAGGGAGGGTCTCTGGGGTAAGGGCATTCGGTTAGTCCAATTGTAAGAATGGGTGTGGGCTAAGGGGCGGGGCGGGGCGTAAGCCCCCTGAGTTGAAAATACCAGCCAATAGAAGAAGAGAGCGCGTGGAGCTGGCGTATAGACGAGCCAATAGTGTGAAAAGAGAGTACTTTGGGCGGGGTATTCTGAGACTGAGAGGAGGTAGGGGCAAGCAGAGGAGGGACTAGACGGGGTCGTTTCTAGGCGCTTTGACTTCCTAAACTTTGTCCTGTGCCTCAGTTTTCCTCCCGCCCTGGGAGGTGAGAGGCGCTTGTATATCATCCTTTTAGGATATCGGTTTGCCCCAGTTAATATTCTGGGAAATAGGACTGGGTTAGAAGCGTGGCTCAGGGCGAAGTGTGGGCCTGGGAGTCTGGAAAAGGGTAATTTTAACCAGAGTGGACACTCATCCATCTGTTCATTAATCCACTGATATACCGGGTTTGTTCGTCCATTCATTTAGTAGACAGACTGCTGGTTTTTTGCTGGGTACTGGGAGACACAATCATGACTGTCATTGTCAATCCAGAGTGGCCAGGGTGGCGGCGACTGTGGAGCTCAGAATGGCCACCTGATGCAGGGACCTGGTGCCAGGAGGTCTGTCTAGAGAAGGATAGCCCGAGCTGAGATCTAAAGGGCATAGTACACGCCTAAAATATGAGCTATTTTATTTATTTTTGTTTTTAAAAAAATTTATTCATTTATTTTTAGACAGAGGGGAAGGGAGGGAGAAAGAGAGGGAGAGAAACATTAGTGTGTGGTTGCCTCTCGCGTGCCCTGTACCAGGGAACCTGGCCCACAACCCAGGCATGTGCCCTGACTGGGAATAGAATCTTCAACCCTTTGGTTCACAGGCCTGTTCTCAATCCACTGAGCCACACCAGGCAGGGCAAAGTATGAGCTCTTTCAAAAAGATGAACTATATGCTCTAGGCCTGTGGGAACATGGAGTAAGGAAATGAATGTAATTTGTTTCTCAGGAAACCACCATTCATCCAGCCATCCATCTGTTACTTCATTTACCATATTTTGCAGTGTATAATGCACACCCATATAGTTGTGCGCATCATACACAGAATTATTATACCTATGGTATGTAATGATCATACCCATATATAATGTGCATCCTTATATTTCCCTCAAAAATTTGGGTTAAAAAGATGCACATTATACATGGCAAAATATGGGTAGCTAGTATTTCCTGATAATCGTCTCTGTGCCTGGCCTTGTTGGTGAAACAGTAGAGGGACCAACCCAACCCAGTCTTCGCCCTCAAGGAGCTCCCAGTCCAGTAGGGACAGACCCATTCTACCAGAGTGATGACCAGAGTGGGCAGAGCTGGGATGGGATTACCCACTGGACACCTGACCTGGCTTGGGGTTCAGTGAGGGCTTCAGGGTGAGGAGAACTTCACCAAACAACAGGGGCATGGAGGATGTTGAGAGACAGGGAGGAGCATGCGCAAGGAGCAAATGGTTAAGAGGAGCACGCCTTTT